TAGGTTTACATTAAATAAGCATTATCAACACAATTTCATTATACAGCTGTTTTGTTTAAGCAAATAATTACCAACATCAGTAAGCTTTTATAGTTAAGTTGTGCATTTCTTTTTTGGCATTACTGATCACATAGAATTTTGATATTTTGTATTGGGTTTGCTGAACAGTTTGACCTTTATTAACATCAATATAATTTATTCCTCCACTGTATATTTTTTGCTATCATTGGTTTAATTACATTGTTAAAATGTAAGACTGTCCAAATTAACATGTGCCAGATATTAATACTATTGTAAGTTCTATTTCTAAACTATTAACAATCATTAACTCTGAAGTAAAAATAATTAACAGTGAAAAACTAATATTTTACTAGTGAATTAAAATTGCAAATTTATTTGAAAGAAATTAATTTAAAACTATTTTATGTTGTATAACAAATACTAAAAGGTGATAATGGTATGCATTTTGTGAGCATGATGCATAATGATTCAAGTGCTGAAGACATGCATAATATCTTGTGTCTTTTATTCTATTTTTAATTTGTACACAGATATACATCAATTTAAAAAATACTGAATTTTTTTGAGTTTACAATAAAGATCAAATTTATAATCAACAGCTTGCTAGTCAAGCATACTTTTAGGGAAATGATGTTTGCAAGCATATTTTCTTTCAATAAATTATCAGCAGACCTAATTTGGCACACATAAGTAGATAATGAGATAACTTAAAGGAGTTAGTCATTTTAATATAGCATGAATGATATGCAACTAGTTTTCTGAAATGCCTACTTCTGCCATAGTACATCTAACTATACACTTTAAAATATGTTATAAGAATATGTTTTAGAATATTAAATATGCAGGGAGAAGTTTAAACTTAAAAGGTTACCATCCTTATCTAATAGCTTATCATTGCTACTATATCTTTAACCTACTTTCAGGTTATTTTTCTTGTGTCAAAAGCTGTGTTTCTCCAAGGTCAATAGTATCTGATATCCTACAAGTAGGAGAAGTGCAGAAATAAAATAAAAACATGATAATTCTTATCAAAATAGAGAATTTTTAAGTATCATCACTGAATGTTCTAATGATATGGGTTTTTATTAAACAAAAGAAAGCTTGGTAAATAAATATCTACAATATGTAAATATGAATATTTCTTATATCCTAAATGAATATCCAGACAATCAAATCAAATACAAGCTTTTGCCTTTAGAAACTGCTCAATATCCTTATATAATTTAATATATTTGAAATGTTTTCCACATGTAGACTTTTCATAGCACACTTTTCCAATTTAGGAAAATAATATAAATTCATAAATTTTAACAATACACAAAGAAATATTCTTTAAAGTTTTAAACAGTGACTTATACATATGTTTTTGGTACTTAGTAGGCTCATTTTCCAAACTGGAGGCATGGTTCAATATATGATGAATTAATAACAATACTATGCCCAATCTCCCAAGCCACATTCTTCTAAAGTAGCCTTTTCCATTTTGATAGCCAATGCAAATAGAAAAATAAAATCCAACCTTAGAGAGTCATTGTTTTTGATTAGTTTTGGGATTTTACTTTAAAACCATCTGCTGAATCATTCTGTGATTATCAATTAGTAGAGACTAAGAAAAATTATTTCTTTTGTTGTTGAAATTTAAGTGACAATGAAACAGAAACAACTTTTAGCTGAAGAGTAAAAAACTTTAATTTCTGTAATTTATTATTTAAACAAAACATTCATTTTTTGTTAATCCCAAAATATTAAAATGAATTTTACATAACCATTTGTACTATTTGTTTTCTACTAGATTAAGGATGCTAGAGATTTGTTACAAGTAACTCTTAGTCTTTATTACTATATTATATAATACTTTTTTCAACCACAAAAGCAATGGTATTCCAAATTTGATCAGTCATTAAAAATAAACAAGTAAGTGGAAAATTATAGTTTTACACAATTACCTATTTTTTGTCTAATTTAAAAACATTATAGGAATGGAGTAGCAGTGTTAAAGGAAGTGTTGATAAAAATATAACCTGAAATAAAAATGATTTATGAATTCATGATTCTTTATTCAACAGATCTTGTAATTCATATATGTAAAACCTAGTCAGAGAAAATGTAAAATACAATTTATTATAACTTATCTAAAATAAGTTATTACAAAATTAAGGTCTATAGTTAATATTGAAACAAACAAAGTTTTTTGTTAATTTGGTGCCATAGCAAATAGAACTGATCCAGTGGTTTAGATCACAAAAGCTAGCCATTAATTTTAAAATATTTAAGGTGACAAATAAAAATTATACTTTTATAGGCAGAAAATTGGACTAAATCTTATAGAAGATAAGGCTGTAAAAGATTTTAAGAGTAAAGTCATGAGTATTTAGAATAATGGAATTATTAGCTGTTTCCTTATGAGAAAACATTGTGTATTCACTGACTAAGCAACCAGTATAACTTATGTTTGAAATTTATAAAATCCTTCACTTAAAACAGTGTTTCAAGAAAAAAGGTTTCTCTGTTATTGTTCTTTTCATTATTGATTGATGATTTCTTCTTAAACTTTTGTTTGAAGTAGTATGGAAAATCAACAGCTTGTTTATGTCATTATTTTCCCTTCAAGCTGGTGTTATGGCGTTTTTGTTTTTTTTTTCTTTGTTAATTGTTTAATATACACCCTTTCATTTTTCTTCGTCTTCTGTTTCTTTCTTGCATCAGTCTTTCCAGGATTATCATCCCATATGAGCATCTTTTTCGATGTAGCTATTCTTGAAATTATCTCATAGGCTTTGGCTAATGAAGATATGATTATATTATTTGATTCCTCTATGTTGTTTTGATTAAGATTTAAGGATAACAATTTGCACTCTAGTTTTCTATTCTTATGCTTTAATTTATAAGAGCTTAGATGTTATACTTAGGTGTCTTTTGTGATTTATGCAAGGGGAAACAAGTGATTTTATTGGCTAGTGTTATCAGTATTGTTACAAGAAGTTTGTGATCAGATTCAAAATAGGAATTATATATATATATATATATATATATATATATATATATATATATATATATATATATATATATATACACACACACTCTAGCACAAATTATCTAAACCAAGAGTGCTGAAGTCATTAAAGTTTTTGGTTAAATTATCTGGGTTATGCCATGTGATATGGTGTTTCATGGGATGGCTGAACCATGTGTTTAGGAAAGAAAATTTTTTTGAATAACAAAAATTTAATAATAGTTCCCCATCACTGTTTGAGTTTTCTGTTTCAAAGGTTGATGTATTCTTACCATCAAAGCAGCAATGGCATTAAAAAATATTGGTGGTAACATTAAAATCTCATTAATGTACAGTTTTATGCTTCTTTTTCTTAGTACACAAAGCTTAATTAATCTTATGTAGATCTTTTAAAAAACACTTTTTTCAGAGTCTGTCTATATTTCTGAGATGAGGTACTATGTACATTATTTACAAAAATCTCCTGAGCCGACCAAGCATAGAAATAAATACAATATGGGAACCAGTAATAAGGAGTGCCAGAGAAAAGCAATGATAACAACAAAAGTTGCAATATGAGCTCTGGTAAAAACATGCAATGATAACAGCAAAATTGCAATATGAGCACTGGCAAAAATGGTTGCTGAAGACATTAGCTTTATAATACCCAGAAATTCATACCCAGATGTCCTCAAGGACACATGGCACAGTGGATAAAAGCGTTGGTTAGATCCAGTGACAGGACCCAAAGAGTGTGAGTTTAATACCTGGTTAAGGCAGTGGAGAACTCCTAGAGGGAAAATTAGCAGGACTGACATCCATCAAACATGGCACATGGAACTAGAACCGTCTACTCCAGTGAGCGAAATAAAGGGGTTCAGTTCAAAATTCCAACCACCTGAAGAAGGCCGGAGTGTACAACAGCCGAAACGTTGTGATAAATATGGCAACAAAGATGAGGACAATAGTCTAAATAATGTACAGTTTTTTCAGTTGTATGGTCATGAACAACTATATCAGCAGTCATCATTTTAACTGATGTAAGATATTGTCTGTTACAATATCTAAAGATTTGCACATTGCAATTTCAGCTCCATATTTTCTTTTCTCATTCTCGCCAGTCCAACAGAAATTGTATTCCAAATGTGCAATGAAATTGCTAGCAAATCATACCTTATACATACAGATAATCATGGTTTTCAATTTTGCATTGGTTCAAATTGAGATGCATTCTGAAATCATTTGATCTTGACTGGATATTGATTTGGCCTATTTTCCATTTGAAAAACTGAATAACTTTGTCAGGTCATAAAAGAATATCATAATGTATAAACAGAAAATAAATTAATGAACCAGATATAATTTGAAATAAAATCTATTGAAATATTTAATAGAAGGTAACTAATTATTCACAGTGGATATTAAAGATTGTTTTCTTTTCTTCTTTAATCCAGCCAACAATGTAAAAGTAATGTTTCAATATTAAATGGTGAAAAGAAAAGATTTTGTTATTGTCAAGGAATTCATCTCAATTAACTGATTGTGATGTAATCAGTATGCTGGACTTGAGCTAATGTAAACTTGTGGCTTTGCGTAGCTATTTACTAAGTGTTGCTTAGTAAATAATTATGAATTCATCTTTGAATATTCAGAATAAGTAGCCATATGAGATGGTTTATAAAATGAATTAAAATCCATGTATATTAATTAAAAAGAAATCCAGATCATATTTATTGGATAAAAATAAAAGAGTGTTAAAAGAGCACAAATCATTTTATAAAGTTATAACCCCCAATTGTGATACAGCATCCAGTACATTTCTAAGCCAGATACTTTTAATTAGAAAATAAAACTGAGCACATCAAATTGTGATTAGTTAAATAAAAAAACAAAAAAAATCAAATTAGTTAAAAAAAAAGTTGTTACAGTTTGTAAGAGAAGCCAGATTTAAAACTTTTTTAAATTCAGAAAAATTAAGGAACCTTACCAATTTTCATATTTGTGTAACTTTGTGACGACATTGTCTCTCTGTAAAAGGTAAAGTAACAATATATTCTCTTTCTCAGAGCCATCACAAACATGAATATTGTCAGGCTGAGTGACCTTTGCAGTCTCCTCAACAAAAGATTTCACAGCAGGAGCCAATTTGTTAATATCACCATAGATGACATGATATGTCTGTTTAGACAAAGGTTGAAGGAAGAATGTACATCTAACTCCTTCAAACAGGGAAGATAGCCTCTTTCCACAAGAAATTCTGAAAAAGATAGATATATGTAGAAAAAAAATGAAATATCAATATATTCACAAAGTAAAAACATTGAAATTATTCCTATACACAACCCATAAAACAAACAAGGTCTGTGTATGGAAGTATCCCATTTTTACTATCTCAACAATAGGTTGTATGGCAGTGATGTAACTTAACAACATCGTGTGGTCATGAATTAATAGATTTTCTCTAAAGGAGTTACTCAATTTGCAGTGAGTTGCCAGCAAGTGAACTGCCACATTGATAGTAAATATCCATCAAGTTTTGCTTGAACTTGGACATTAGCCTGTGGATGCAATTTGAATGATTAATCATTCAAATTGCATCCACAGGCTAATGTTTAATAGGTAGTTTTCATGGATGACTCGGATAAAATTTTGATTTAAACGTGACTGGAAATCCTGTTAAAATTGATTCATATTCCAGATTGCCCAAAAATGTTGAACACAAGAAAATTGCATAAAAGGAAAATCATTGATAAACAGGGCAAAAATTAAAATTTGGGAATTTTGTCAGCATACAATGTGGTCTCTTTTAGCCAGACTAATTATGCCTATGTTATTTTTTTATGCCCTGATTGTGCTGTTGCATACAAAAAACTGGGTAAGGCTCACTGCACAGTCACAAAGATGAAAGAAATCAAAACCATGATAAAAAATGAGAACATTAATCCTGCTTTCAATAATTTTGTCATTTATTCACTAGCTGAGTTCCAGTTTGAACTAGTATTCTCTCTAGGATATATAGGTTGCACATATTTAAATTGTACACAATACAACAAAATCTTTCTTATATTATTCTTCAAATTTTTCATGCTGAATCAAGCTGATATATAATGTTACTGAAAGAAGATGTTTTATCTTCTAAAATAAGAAGATAAAACATCTTTTTTCAGTAACATTATGTATCAGCTTGATCCAACATGGAGACCTTGGAATGTGATTATTTTATTTGATACAACTGGTTGGTCAACAGATCTGACAGAAAACAAGCTGAATAAAATGGCCAAATTGTGCTATAGGAATTGAAATCCAGGTAAAAACCAGGTTTCAAAGGTTAAAAATAGACAGGTATTTATTATAAATTTTATTCAAAAGGTCACTTACTCAACTGTACTGAGTTTTGTTATAAAATAATTTCCTACTTTTATACAACTTTTAGACATGATTAGCAGAGAAAGAAATTACAATTCTGTGGGATTGGTCATAATCTTAGACTTTTCAATAAAGTTACTTCGGCAGAAGGAATTATCGAAAATTGGTATTTAGTTTTAATTTTTTATGTTTTAACTGAAACAAATGAGCTGGAAAATGAAAAATGAATTCTTTTTAGATATTTTTTATATACTACAAACTGTATGTCAAGCAAGACTTGCTCTTCACACAGATTTTCATCCATACATTTTTTGCAGATTTTAACTGAAACTATTTTTGAGTGTGACCATTTTTTAAAACAATTTATTTTTTTTATTTTTACAACTGTTAATTTATTTTTGTGTGATAATTCAAAAAAGAAATAATTCTGTGACTGTTGTCTTTATCAATTTTTCCTTTTTTGTAGTATTTTACTTAGATAAATTTTAAAATCAGAATAACTGAACAAGACCTCATTGGGTGCAATTAATATTTCATGACCTCAAACAAATAAGAAAATAAAAAAAGGGCTATTGGGCATAAATAAATGTTACTTTTGCTGTTTTAAACAAAAAAGGTTTTCCTTTTATTTAAAAATCCAGTTAATCCTTAAATTTACTAATTTACTTTTAACCAAATCAATAATTGGATTTTAAAGAGATTTTTTAAAATTTGTTGTTTGCATTTTTCGTGGAGGTTCGATGAGTGACGGTGTGAATATTTTTAGAAGTCTAAAAACTTTATTTATATATGTAAATTTCTTTATTACTACGTACTAGTTGTAAAGATTTCAAATAAAACCAAAATATAACTTCAACGAAGTTCTTTTTAAATTATTTAAAATGTGTTTTTAAAGGAAGTTAAATGGAAGCTAATAAATAAATAAAAAAGCAACACTCGAAAAACTTGAAAAGGCGTGGTTAAAAATGCTGATATTTTGTTCGCAAAAGTTATTAAATAAAAAAAATAATTAAATCACCACTCCCCACGTAAACTATTATTCAACAAAAACTTCAGAAGAGGTTTTTAAATCGTTTATTTTTTTCTTTCTGTTTAAAGTTCATAATGATGATTTTAAACTTTAAAGCAATACGAAAAATTTGATGTTAACTTTTGTTTTCCAAACTAAATTTGCTTTTCCACTTTCTCTTTCTCTCTCTCTCTCTCTCTGACACGCACACACACATAAGACCTGAATTTTTTCGATTGTCCATGTCAATCACCCAACTAGTGAAATAGTTACAGTACACTGTCTTACTCTTCCTATATCTTCACAGCAAGGCTTTTTAACATCGTGTAAAAAAAAAGTTGTAACACACAAAAATAAAATCGTTTTGTTATAAAATGAACAAAATAGCCATCGTTTCGTGAGGACTAAAATAGAGAAAGACAGCCAAGTTGATCTATTTTTCCTTCTTTTGAAGTGAAATGAGGATTTAATTACTTTCGTTTCTTAATTATTGCAGTTAACTTTTTGATTTTAAAAAATACACATTTTGTCAAGTTTTAATTTAAAACTTGGCAAAATGGGTTTAGAAGATATTATTATCAAGAAAAATTTTAAAAGTATTCCAGTTGAGTAAAAAAAAAAAAATCCAGGTAAAACAATTTATTTTTTAAAAAAAGTCATGTAAAAAAAAAAAGACTATATGCTAATATACTAATTGTTAAGTTTTTTGTAGTGATCCATCAATATGAAATACAAAAATCTCTCCCAACCTTTGATAAGAGTTTTTTTGTTTTTTTTTAATAGCCTTACTACTGCTATTATTATTACATATGATTATTTCAACACTAAATATTTGTTAGTAGCGGTGTAGTGATCATTATTGAATGTGATGAATTCAGAGAGTTTGATATTCATTAGGCATCTCATACCTATTTGAAAAACAAACACTAAATTTTAAATGAATTATTTTACATAGTTATGAAGGAAAAAACAAAAAAGCTGTTTTTTTTTTATAAAAAGAAGGTTTCAAATACAGTAAAAAAAAAATCAAACGTAGCAAAAATAAATCGAGAAAAAATATTCTTCCTTGCTTGACACTGGCAAGTTGTAAGAGAGGGACGGTTCTGTTTTTTCACACTGGAAAACTACCGGGTGATTCAACCTAGTTCTAAACTTTTTAACTGAACATTGAACAATAAAATTATTGCATAATACGAATCCAAATACAAACGGACATCAAAAATAATGTACCTACTTTAAAAAAAATAAATATATGATAATCCGTTGGAGTTATTTTTAGTTGTAAGTTCTCAACCGCGATGAATACTTTTTACCACAGTAGACTAAAGAAAAACAACAAATGTTTCGAAAATTAAAAAGTGCAAAAAAAAAAAAAAAAAAAAGAAAAAAGAAAAGAAAAAAAACTAAAGTTTTCATATTTAAAAAAATAAATAAATTCAGCCACCTGTCTCAAGACGAGAAAGTGATTTGGGCACGGATAAAGGGACCCGTTGTTTGCTCAACGGCACGCAAGTAGTCGAGTCGTCTTAGTGTTCGACAAATAAAACAGAATATATTGAGAACGAATAGACTTTTAAGTTTTTAACCTCTTTATTTATGATAACAGAAAAATACAACTGCATAACACTTTCAAAGAATAGTTCACCAAAGTGTATTGTATTGCAATGTTTTTCTTAAACAAAAGGTGTTTGTTACTGTTTTAATAATTGTAGCCAAAAAAAAAAAAAAAAGGTAATAAACGAACCGAACCTTTCATTTTGGGAAAAAAAAAAATGAAACTTCTCTTTAAAAGAAAAACAACAAAAAAAGTATTTTCTTTAAAACAGTATGTCGAAATCCTAAGATAAGAAAAAAAAATTAAAATGAAATTTATAAATTAAAAAAAACTATTACTAACCGGCTTGAGAGCAATATTGTCCACGCCATGGAGGTGTTCTGAATGTCCGCAAACAAATGGGAGGGGCTTATCGTTAGTGTAGTGATAAGAAGCCGAATGGGTAAATATAGACAAAACTTTATTTTATTTAAAAAAAAAAAAAAATAGAAAAAGGGAAGCAATTATATCACAGTCACGCATACTTGAAAAAGAAGTGAAACATAGCAAAGTTTTTAGCTGTAAAAATGATTTTGATGGCGAATTAACTGACTTTATTCACTTTTTTCATTGTAATGTGAAAGTACCTCAACGAATATGTTAAACCGTTATTCAATTAGAAATTCTGATTGGTTAAAAATATTATGTTTGTCTTTTGTGTCGCTACATTATCGCATTGATTTTTCGACACATCACCAACAAGAACTAGAGTTGTATGTGCGATAGAGATCCTTATACGTCCCGTGAACAGAGACTAGAACACGTGGCGTTTATAATGACGTTCAATAAACGGGAACCTTATTTCTCTGCTGTGTACAACTGCAACACGTACACAACTAAGAGTAAAACTAATGCATAAACACACTGCGTATTCTACTAAGATCAAGTAAAAAGAGATTCTTTGATCACATTTTCTTTATGTATAGAGTTGTACTTAAAAAATGGATTAAAAAAGCAATTCCATTTTAAGTTGTTCCTTTCTTGGGTTAATTATTTTAACTCAGACCTATCACCAGTGTTTTACGTGGAGGTGGAGGCAGCCTTTAATTTTGGAGAGTAAGAATTTGCGCACTACAATTAGTTCACATAATTTTCAGTGGTGGCGGAAGTGGTAGAAAATGATTTTTTAACAACAGGCTTAAAAGACACCTGAAAAAACGTTTGAGCAAAATATAAATAATTAAATAAACAGTAAAAAAATAAGTTTATCTATTATTTCTGTTTGTAATCATTAAGTTATATTAGATATGTGTAAAAGTTCTCAGCGTTCTGTTGTGAATATACACAGTTGGAGGCCTTTGCTGAAATGGAAAGTATTATCATTTTATGCCTCCTGGTACATTTGTCCTGCAAACAATATCTGGCGGACTCATGTTAGTCAAGGTAAAAAAAAATAATAAAAATGGACACAAAACGTGGAATTCAAACAAACAACAATTAATAAATGTATTAACAAGACATGATAAGGAAAGAAATGAAGTTGAAGTTATGAACAGTTCAATACAATCTTCAGTCTGTGCCATTGACGCCCCGTGTCTATCGAAGCGAAAGGAAACGCGTGTTGCGCTCCAAAAGCCAAAGGGAAAAGAGGAAATTTCTTTCACATATCGCACCATCTGTGATTATTGTCAGGGGGCTATAATCCACCAAAACAGTTTTTTTTTTTTTTTTTTGACTGGACACTTCTGCACGCATTTAATAGATTCTCTTACGTAATTGACTCATTTAAATTCACCAGGTTGTTTATTCTTAGATACTTTAATAGATAATTACTATGAAAAGGTAAACATATAGCGTACATAGGATGAAAATCACTACCAATGCTTTGTGAGATATGTGCTTATTTTTTTTAGATATGAAAAGTTGATGGTACAGACTTGAAAAGGAGGGAAAACAGGAAAAGAGAGAGAGTTACTTAAGGGTTCTCTCTCAGGGCTACGCCTCATAATTATTAAGACTACTACATTGCAGACTCTATAACAATTTTTCTATCGCGTCTTAACTAGTTCCATATGTACAATTTTTGTGGTAGGGATAATAATCTGGTGAATTCTAGTTGCTATTGGTTCTCTTTATTATGCGGACAATTTTTGCTGATGTTATGTTGTGTATTTCTCTCTGAGTAGTATCAATCGTATCACAGTTCTCCACGTTACATTTAGCAAACGGGGTCGCTGACTAATGCCCTTTGTTCATCCTCTGCTCTCTATGTCGTCATTCTCATTTGCATATGGGTACTACACCACCCTAAATTGAAGAGGCCGAGCACCCTTGTTTTTTCTACTACTATTTCTGATTACGCTCGTACTGTGTTTTCCTTCCTCTTGTCTTTTTTTTTAGTGGTGATCTTGGTCTTTCTTCATTTTCTTCTTCAGTCTCGCCCGTCTTTTCTCACTTTCTTCTATTTCCTGCTCTCTTCCATTTTTGTAACTTTCTATCTCTTCTTGCTCTTGATCTTCCATCTCCACGTCATCCAATTCGTTTCTGCTTCTGAATTGATCCGCATGTGCTATTATATTTTGTCCCTTTTTCTCTAGTAAAGCCGTGTTGTGTCCTTTTTGTATCAGGAAATTTGCTTCTTCTGGATCAGCCTCTTTATTCTTTCGTTGAAAAGGACATAGTTATGGGGGCTCTGATTTGTCTGCCCATTAATGCCGAGGGGCTCTGCTTTCTTCCTGCATATGGAATGGATCTATAACTGAGAAGCATTTTCGGTAAATACGCTTCTAGGCTATCATTAAGTGGTGAGAATGCTTTTAACTCCATTTTCACCGTTTGTACCATTCATTCCACAATGCCATTAGATTGTGGCTGATACGGTGGTGTCTTGTATGGGATACATCCTATCTGTTTCAACCACGCACATAAATTATCATCGCAAAATTCAGGGGCATTGTCATTGACTAATGTCTGGAGTACTCTATTCCATGAAAATATCGTTCTTAGTACTTGCTTTATTGTGGTGGCTTTTCTACCTTTTACTCTGACAACCTCTGGCCATCCTAAATACGAATCCACTAACACTAAGAACAATCCCCTATCTTTGATATGCGCGTGATCCATGTGGACCCTAACCCATGGCTTTGCTTCCTAAGTAAACCGAAGAAACTTATTCTCTTTACTTCTCTATTTGACATCTTGGTATTTTAATGTTCAGGCAACACATTAGAAAAACTAAGTGTAATGAATATGACTGACAAACTCATGGCTAGTTTAGATATTAAATCCCTTTAGATCATTATTCCTGCAAAATACTTTAATCTTTTAAAAAAGCATCCAACACAATAAAAAATAAACCTGTACCTACCAAAAGCTAAATCAATAAAAAAAGAAAATCTGCCGGCTCAATACCAATTTGACATTTAACAATAATTTTATAAGGAAAAATTCGGATTACCAATAGGGTTGACTCTAAGCAGGCATTTTCTTAAAACTTCTTGAATCTGGTCACTTCCAAAATATTTTATCTAAACAATCATACTTCCGATATATTGATATATAAATATATTCCCGCAAAACTACTTTACCTTGTAGATAAACTAAACAAAGTCGTGCATGCTATAGAGTTTACTTATAAAATGGAATCAAAAAATACTTTACCTTCCCTAGATATGATGTTACACCTCAGTGATAATAGCCTATCAACTACTAAAAAGGATCTTCGTTCTTCATCCATTTTCAGTTTCTCACTGCTCCAAGACACTTATTCTGACAGTTCTTTACAAAGATTTCAGCCTCTAACTCTTCTCCAATGGACTTCACTCTTTAATTAAGTTCAGTTCTAATGACATGAAACATTCTATTTACAATTCTCGATATCATAATATATATATATATATATATATATATATATATATATATATATATGTGTGTGTGTGATCTGCATTTGATTTAGCTTGCATATTTAGTGCGTAAGAAAAAACTCAATAGTATCAAACTCAAGTTGAAATCATTGATAATTGGCAAGTAGCAGTAATTAAGAAAATAATAGGTGATATTTACTGCTATTTTGTACTTGAAAATACTTGATATTCAATAGTTCAATATTTCTGTGTTTAATAGCAAAATACCCCCCTCTCTCTCTCTCTCGCACACATATTGTAAATATTTTCAAGCTTCGCCATTTTCAACCAGATTCAAAAGATTGACAAGGTCATGGAAACACTTCTAGATTGTACTGAACAAAATATTTGCGAATTATATTCATGACATTAGCTTGTAGGAAGATCAAACGATCTTAAGCGCCAACTATTGCACCGAAGTGGATAAATTATCACACCATGCATTGTTCCTTGAATCAGATGAAATACTCCCAAAATATGAAATTCTATCTCTGTGCTTTAACTGTAGGAATGGTGTTTTTTTAGCATATCCATAATCATCTTATCGTCACACACGGTAGAGTTGGGTTGTGACACCCAAATTCAATTTTTGTTTCTTCCGATCAAACATTACTTTTTCAAAAATTATGAGCGAAGTTTGTCCGGAATTCCGCTGTTTATTATTACTGAGCAATTGATGACAAATTCTTCTTTTAGTAACTTAGTTAAATCATCTTTGATCGCCTTTCAAGTTATCATTGAATTCGCTTTGATTTTGCTTAGCATTTATGAGTTGCTCATGAAGAAGATTTTTTGATTACCGTGGTAGTTTGGCACAACGGATAAACCTTCCTCAAATGTTCATCCGAAGAAATTTTTAGGCGTTGTCAAAATTCTTTCACTTCAGAATAAGTGATCCAGTGATTCAAGGATTATTAAAATCTAGACAGTAGCTGAAATCTTCATTATGATGCTTACTCACGTCATTCTTTTCTTTGGGTGTGTGTCATTTAAATAATTTCAGCTTCAATGTTAGAATGTGAAGTAGTGAACGATGAATGTGATGGCATCATGACCTAACGAAGTACTGCTAGAAGATTCCAAAGGTTTATGTCCAAGTGCAGAAAGATATAGACTTTATTCATTCTTAGATATTTTTTATAATACTTTTTTTCATCGTATCCGAATATTTTCCAGCGTTGCTTTATATTTAATTCTGCACTGTATGTTTGAAATACTTTTTTTGTATAATTTTTATGCTAAATTAGACCACCTGTGGAAGCAGAGTATATTAATGTTACCCAAATATACAAATACTCTTCCGACTCTATAAGCCTTTGCTTCTACCAACCAAAATTTTATGACTGGTCATTTGATCAGATTTGTGGTAAGTTAGACGGACCGAGAACTTTCAACTGATCCTTGTTTTATACCCTGTGATGATGATGATGATGATGATGATGATAATAATAATAATAGTAATAATAATGATAATAATAATATGCCTGGAT